ATGTTCGACAATTATTCAACGTAATTTCATAAATAAAACTTCCTATTTATAATTATTTGTAACTTCTTTGACAGCATAAAATTTTAAACCGAAAAAGCATCAATTGGATGTCTGATTTTTAATTTTGCCACAGACATTGAGGACCATGACAATTTTATTATAAATATTCAAAATGTCATTAAATCATCTTCACAGAATTTCTGCGACCAATGAAAATGCCATTTTGTGCATTTTTTCGGCTTTAAATTGCAGAGCAAATGAATATGTCAAATTATTATTCATGTCAATTGCTGGTCAATTGATATTGATTGATTTTTTAAGTTCTAGACAGAAGAGGTCATTCACGAATGTTGTGCTAATTTTTTGATATGAAGGTGGATGTCTAAAGCTATATGCAACTCTAGAGTTGGATTATAATTAAAACTGGTGAAAGGAGCCATATAAAGGCCATAAATGATTAAAAGTGAATAAGGTCTCTATGGTGACGTGCTTAAGCAACAGACTTGAAATTTTTAACCTTTTCACTTTAAAATTGGATAAGGGGCCGTTCACTTATTACGTTCGCATTTTAGGGGGGAAGGGGGTTTGAAAAATTGTAACAAAATGTAACAAAGGGGGGGGGGGGTGTCAAGAAGTATGTAACGTTCTAACTGTCGTATGTCTTTTAAAAAAATTTTGTTTACAAATTCACACCAAAAACATTTTTTTAAATTTTCCTCCTTTTTAATTATTTATGAAAAATTATCAAAATAAAATAAATTATGAACGTTCAAGGGGGGGGGGGGTGTAAGTTGTAACATATTGTAACAAGGGGGGGGGAGTGAAAAAGTCGTTTTTTTGCGTAACGATTCCCTATAATTGAATGATCTCTCAATTTTCTCAAATAATGTAGTCAATATGGCAAGGATTCGAACAATGTCTCGACATCACGAATCTTTAAACTGCCTATTTTATGCCACAAACTTAATGACAAACACTTCAAAATATATAATTCAACAAACAATTTTCCTCTTGACAAAATAACCCTAAAAAGCGACTCCAAAAACAACCCTCAAAAAATTTGAGAATTAACATCAGGTGGAATTGAATATGTAATATATTCACAAAAATTGAAAATTTTGTGTGAATATGATTGTGTAACTGAATTGTTCTAATAGCTCACTTCGAAGGAAGAATGAAGAAATTTTCGTTCATTTAATATTTTCTAATGTTATTGTTATTCTTTGGCTGTTCATTGACATTCATGTGATTATTCAGTTGAGAATTTATCGATTTTTTATCCATTTCGGCTTTCTTCGGGCTTGCCTTAGATTTTTCCATTCCTTCCTTGCTATCTTGCTATAATGAAAACGATGAGTTTCATTACTGCATTAATGAAAAATTCATAAAAATAATGTTATTTGCCTTCCTTCACCTTTTCCAGCAGTTCCAACATTGTATTACATTGTTGCTGCTGTTGGGATGCGAAATACTCATAATAACTCGCGTGTTCTGTTATTATTTCATTAAAATCGTTCAGTTTTTTTTTCTTGCTCGACTATGGGAAAATAAAAATCGTTCCTGTTCTTTCATTTCCATTCATTTTTTATGAATTTTGTTTCTGTTTACTTTTATATTTGTTTTTAAGCCCCAATTACTTTAATTAAATTGCTATAATTGCTATCTGCTCTCTCTCTAGTCTAGATTGTAAATATTTCATCATTTTATGGCCAATTATGTGAGCTGAACAAACAGAGGTCTTTAGGTAACGATCTTAAATGATGTCTAATGTCGAGTATTAAAGACTTGGTTCGTCTACTTTTTGCAGGCACCCCCACACACTTTATGGTTTGGAGAAATCACATTTAAGAAACTTACATATTAAACACAAATTTAATGTTTTAGTCGGAGGGGGTTATGTACCCTAGATAACCCTTACTAGCATCAAGAAATGAGTTATTACTATCAATACACATCACATAAGTACGACCCAATATATATGCATATTGTGATGATGTAGATATTTATATTTATAGTGAGCACACTGAACATTTTTATTGTAAAAAAAAATCTGCCGGCTTCAGTAAACAAAGAGGCGGTGCCCATAGATAGATACGTAGATGGGAAAAAAATATAATCAAAGAACAAAAAGGTCATTTTACTCATGATGTTGATTGTTGAAATATTTTCCCTTTTTAGTTGGGTCGCGTCTGCATTCTAGTCATTTTAATATAATTTTCTAAATTATTTAAATGAGGCTAATTTATGCAAGAGGAAATCTAATAAGAAACTTTTGCTGTGCTCTGTGCTGTGTTGCTTTCCAGTCATCCATTGAGTAAAAATCATTAGCTAAAATGTCAATGAAGAAGAATCAGTTTTGGGTTGATGGCATGCGTCATGGATTTGGCTAATGTATTAACGTCTTGTTTTGATGATTGGCAATTTTCATTAATTTTAATAGTTCTGTAGATGGAACAAGATACATGAATGTGTATATGCGAAATATTGTGGGTTAGTAACGGTTAAAAGTTTTGAATTTTGTTCAAGTACTCAAAAATGTAAAGAACCATTTGGATAGACTCGACTCTATGAATTATTTGAGCAGTGTTTCTCAATATTTGATTAACAGCACACTAGAGCAGTGGTTCTCAACCTTTTTAGACTGCTAAAAAATAAATTATATATCAAGTCTAAAAGCTAGTGTGACTTGAAGCTTAAACTGAAAATCACTGTACCTGAGTGTAGTGACGTGTTGCCGGGAATATCAAGCTAGAGCACAATTAAGAATCAAAAGTCAAAACTTGAGATTCCAAGCTACATTCCCCCTGATAGCAACATGTTCCATATTATTGCCACATTTTATTCACAAATTATGTAACTTTACTGCCAATATTCATTTAATTTTCCCATAAATTTTTCATCACATATTTAATTTAATTTCTTTCTCAAATCAATAAATTTCAAATTACTGGCCATAAAGAAATGAACACACGCGGCATATGATTATTCAATTTCAATAATAATAGGAAGATTATTTAAGTAATTATTTCACTAAAAATTCATAATTCTTTTCCGTGAAGAAGAAATGTTCATTTGATGATGCATACCAACTCCCATGCTATTTCTATTATTGAATAGAACTGTAATTATAGTCACATTATAAATTTAAAGATGTTCTTTTAGTTCCACACAAAGTTTCTCATAAAACATGTCATTAAGCGGTCATCGACATGTAAATATTTAATAAACGAAAATAAGTTGCTAAGTTTTGACTTTACCGTCAGACATGTGTTGTGAAAATAATAAGAAGATTCTCTTAAATAAAACCTGTTGACCGTGAAATAAAAGAATAAAAATAAATCTACTGTTAGACAGTCATAAATGTTTAATGGATAATCTCTTTTCACATATAGGTGAAAAAATTGCTCATTACTAATTTTGTCGATTTTATTTTGGAAACATTTGTACAGGTGCTAATGAGCATCGATTTTTTGTTAAACACAATCTTTTTGTGTACTGCCGGGAGCTCTTTTGGTAGTTTGTTGAAAACTATTGACAGATTTTTTTTAAAGCTTGTTAAATTTTACATCTTACATTTTACATTTAATTGAATGTGCTGTAAATCGATTTAAATCCAGCACCATGCCAGAGTCACAGCCATTTGGTGCCGGATTTCTGATTAACTAACCGACTTGTGGCATTCGGGCATAGTTCATAGGCACTAAGCTATGTTTAACATTAATCTTTTACGAAGTTAAAGCTTTCTTCAAAAATTATTAAGTTAAAAATCGATCAAATTAAATTTCCCGCAAAAATCGAATTTGACTTTTTTCAGAACATTCATTTCATTTCGCTACACAACGCTTCAATGATTGTGAAAGTATATTTAGGTTGGCAAAGCAATCCTAAGTTCAAGACTTTGTTAAGCAACTGATTGTTTTTTGGTAGCTTTTGTTAAAAATCAAACTTAAAGCTTCTAGGATTTTATTATCAATTTCAGAACAATATGATGCGTTGTTGTCCATGATTCAATGTCAATTTTTAGACAGCAATAAACAGTTTCTCAATTAGTCCATAAAACAATTCTGTAAATAGTTTCACCTAGTTTTATTACAAGAAAAGCTTCATCCGGACTTTAAAAAACGCGAATTATTATTATTGAAAATCACAATTTTTTCTTTTGACACACGACTTTACATGAAAGTTGTGAATAATTAACTTTTAAAATTAAATTGTGATTCACACTGATTGAGTGGTTTTTATTAAAACTTAAAATATAGTTTGATCATGTCAAAATAAAGTACGCAAAAAAGGTTTAGTCGAATTCTTCCTGGAATTAATCATAGAATTCGTAATCTAGGCATTTCTGAAAAGCAATTAGTAAAGATTAAATATCAGATTACCGACTACATTCCCATACATGATCAAAACTCAATTTTAAATTACTTTTTCGTTTTGAATATTTTAGATTTCCAATAATCGATGTAAGGATTATGGTTGGATTATGAATTCTTTTGAATTAATTCGATTTAATCGTCCATAAAACTTCTCTTTCAAATATTTTATCTTTCTGAGATCAACTCTTAATGCTGAATTTGGAGAAAAAACTTTCTTCTTCCATGAATGCATTAATTAATTCATTTTTCCTCAACAATTGTTCGGGCATGCTTGGTGAACAATTAAATTTTCCTCATTGTGAGGCATTATTACCACAGACAGATGGGGTTTATGATTCTATTTCTTTCGTATTCATGTACATTTATTCTGTCAATTTAGTCTACAGCATCAAGTATGTGTGCCTGAAACCTTCGTCTGCAAAAGTTTTTGTGGTCGTTCAATTGTTACGTAACCTAAATTATGGAAATGAGTTTTTTTTAATCAACTCATGTCTACAACCTTAAAGTGTCGCAAAACATCCCTTAAAAAAAGCAGACGTAATTACTACACGACCCCATATGTGTCTCATAACATTTTATATTTCAAAATTTAATTATGGTCTATTTTTGTATTCTCATACGTGACGAGGAAAAATATTTAATGCAAACAGAACATCCGATGAGTAATGACATGGGCAGTGTTAAGGTCTAGAACATGTGCATAATTTATTGACAAATTTTACTAAAACCTTTTTTTTCTTACAGGAATCTCACTAGAGACGTTTATTTAATGGATTTATTAGGAATTATCTCATAAATAACAATTTCAAGAGACAGCTAATCTCATTTCAGCTAAACTAGACAACTAAAAGCTTCAACAAAAAAAAAACTTAGACAAGCCTAGACTTACACATAAAATGGTGATAAAAACATTTCCGGCTCTGCTGCGACGAAGGGGATGCTTATTCTTCGCAGCTACTATTATATTAGTTCCTTTCACAGTTTTCATACTCATTGTTGGTCCTGATTTGAAAATAGAACAAAATTTATCGCAAAAGTTGGCAGAATGTCAAATGCGAGTTCAATATTTAGAAGCAATGTATCGTACGAAACAGGAAGATGTATCAATTCTATCACAATATTTAGGTTTAACAGCTGCAAATAGTAATACAAGCGACAACAATAGTGTACTTTCAAATTTCAATAGCGTCCTCGAATCACTCAGTCCCGAATCGAAAGCAATAATAAAGAATTTAACAATGTCATCACAACAACGATTTTCATCATCATTACGCTTACCAACAGCCTATCACTTTTTACCACATCTACTTGATGATCCAGCATCATCATTAAAGCCAGCATATTTGCAATCGAAAGGTAGAACAGGTGTATCAATAGTATTAGGTAAGTAAATGAAGATCATTTTGCTAAAAGGTTTAAAATTGATGACATTAAGGAAGGGGGGAGATGAGTGTGGAAAGTTGTTGAGGCTTTGGTAGTTAAGGTGCATTTTTAGCTGCTTGTGTTAATGTCGGTCTAAAATACTCTTGTTTAGTGCTAGAAAATGAAGATTGTGTTGCCAAATTGAGGTTGAAAACAGATCACATTGAGTTATTGGTTTGATGATTATGAAACTCTTGAAGGTTCCAGCAACATCAACGATAATACTTTAGATACAGTTCAGAGCTGAATATACAAAAACAAGACAACAATAGACAGTGTCAAAAAAGCTATGCTACACAAAATTATAAACATTCTAACCAATTATCGCAAAGTGACATATGTCCCAATCTAGACACTTAAAAAACACAAGCTTGAAGCTTGAAACTTCCTTTCAAAAGCATCATCAATACAATTTTCCCCCTTTTCTATTTACACAGCATAACTAAATGTTATTAAATATTTACAGGAATTCCGACCGTTAAAAGAGATAAGCAAAGTTATTTGTTGAGTACTTTAGATAACCTAATAACGAACATGGATGAGGAGGAAGCGAATGATACAATGATTGTTGTATTTATTGGCGAAACAGATCTCGAATATGTTACCGAAATTGCGAAGCAAATTCAGCAACGATTTCAAGAATATTGCGATAATGGACTGATTGAAATAATATCCCCACCTGCCTCATATTATCCAGATTGGAATAAGTTGAGAGTAACACTTAATGATCCCATTGAGAGAGTTAAATGGCGATCTAAACAAAATTTAGATTTTGCATTTCTTATGGCGTACTCACAAATTAAAGGAACATTTTATGTACAACTTGAGGATGATATTCTCTCAAAGCGAGGATATATAACAATTATGAAGCGATTTGCTGTTGCAAAGACGATAAAGCAAGATCAAGATCCATGGTTTCTCATCGATTTCTGTATGCTTGGTTTTATTGGTGAGTATTCATGTCATGACTTTTTATCTATACACCTAGCCATAAATGACTTTAAATACTTCACACCTTCAATAGTACAACAACAAAAATAGTATCGTTACGGCTCTTGCATGCCACAACATATATTTCATTCAAATTCATTATTTACATTCATGTTCAGCTTATTTTTATCATTCACATGCCATTTCTATAGCCTTTCGTAATGGAGAACGAAAAATTTATTTAAATTCTCTACACAGTTCTACGTGACTGTTTAAATAAAATGACAACCTTTCACTCCTCTCTTGATAATTCATCAGTCTCTCATTTATAACATATATTCAGCACATAGCATTAAATGAGAATTTACGTGTCAAGTCTGGGATAATTACATGTGCTGTAAAATTTTCAATTAGTATCGTTTTTTTTTGGGTATCTTGTTTTGAGCTTAAATGGAATTTTGATTGGTAAGTGACCTGAGATGAGATGTGACTGTGACAATTTTGTTTGTGACTTGATTTCTGTTTGGAATTAGGACGATTGTTTTTTGTAAAAGATCTTTTGTAATTTTAAATCCATCGATACATGTTATATACAGTCTAAAAGACGATTAAGTAGATGGTACGTTTAGAATCAAGCAGCAGCAGCTGCACAAAGGGTAGTGACATGATAGGCAGTTGAATAGGGTTCAGGTTGGCTCTAAAGGTATATAACATGTCAGAGTGTACTGACTGGGTAACTGGTTATTTTTGGAAGCATTTTGATGGGAATATGATGGCTGTTTCCTTAATTTTGCTAAAAATAGACCGTCGTGAAAGTTGACTGACCTTTAAAGCCTTCTCCACATATATCAACTTATATTCTCTATCCGACTTTAAGTCGCATAATATCTATCGGCTTAGCACTGGCAAGCCTAAATACCATAACTTTTCACAAAAATGTGTGTCCATTAATGAATTTAGTCCACAATTTTCACACAAGATTACACCTTTCTATTATTCTCTAATTCAGTCAACTCTTTAATTTAAATCCAATCTATTTAAAAATCAAAGTCAAGTCAAGCTTTAAATGAGACTTAAATGCCGTTAAGAAATTTTAATTCAACTATGAAATGTCTAAAAAATTTACTTTAGTCGTCTCTCTTTACATCCATTATTCATATTTACATACATATGTCATGGATTGATGTATATGGACGGTCCTCAAAAACAGAAATGAAATGCGTGAAGTTTTCGTATCAAGAATTTTTAATGAGCACTAGACAGACAGGCGAAGAAGAAGAATTCCATAATTGTGGAATTGTTTTTGTTCTCTAAAATTGATGCTCAATATTTATGAATATTCCACAACATAATTCCTCATCATCATTCACGTTCAGTCATATATGAGTGTCATAATTTAACGGATTGATCTTTACTACAATCAACATTCATTCTATTCTCCTCCGTTCTCTCATACACAAATTTTACGATTATAATGTCATTCTGAATTTAAATTGCATGCCAGCACAATTCATTGCATATACGTCTATATTTATAAGTTCGGAGAATATAACTTATTTTTTATTATTTTTTTGTAAAAAACCCGAGACCGACACATTAACATAACAAATGCGATGAAGACATGCAATGGGAATGAATTGTTCAATTGATGGAATGATAAATGATTTTATTTTATGCATTAAAATTTTACAATGCATGAAATGATGCTAAAGATGGCATGAAATTAGCAATACTACTATAATAGTTGACTACTTCAGTATTGAATTACGAACTATAACCCTTGGGGTGAATATTTGATTCATTTTTGCATCGTGGAGGTTGAAAGAGTTTCGCGGGAGGTCATTAGGAATAGATTAATGATTACTTTATTGATTTGTATAGAATTGTAATGAATATTGATGAATATAGTGAGTTATTGTTATACTATGATTTATAACTAGATATGAGTCAACCTACTAGCTTCGTTTGAGTAATTTGAGCGAATTGTAACGATAGAACTAGATGAAGAGTTTTGAGAAATAAATATTTGAATCTTCTAAATAGCAGAATCAACGTCTATAGCGTCACTCATCCAACAAAAATAGTTAAATCCCTTTCTGGTCTGGCGCCTCACGATTTCCCAAATCTGACAAATTTTTCCTACTGAAACTAATTTTATTTATGACTTTCGAGTGTACTGGAGAACTGCAAATATAATCATAAAATCTGAACAATAGAAATGAAATTAGCTCAAGCTTTAGTTGAGTTATATTTTTTATATAAAATAAATTGAATTGAGTTATTAATCATCTTGAATTACGAATTACGTTCTTTTTTTGCGATTGTACAATATATGAATGTTTGTAGCATGAATATCAATCTTATTTATATCTACAACATACATTATAATAGAATAGACAGTCTTAATGCATTCGCATGTACTTACTTGAGTATAAAGAAGCACAGAAGTGTAAAATAATATTATATTAATAGATTAATGTAGGTATGAAGGCATGTGGTGTTAAAGGCAAATACGAGAATCCAATTTTCTTTGTTCTTATTCTCTTTTGATGTTTATCAACGCATTCACATTGCCATGTAATCCATTTCTTGGAAGATTAATGAGGAAATAGCGCTACTTACAGTTTTGTCACAAACACACAAGATTTATTACTGTGACATTTGCGATTCATAGCCCAATTTTTCATATTCGAAGGATAACAAAGTAATAAGAAGGAAATCCATTTTATGACAGATATTTCACAATTCCATTGTCATAAATTATGGCGCTAAAAAAGTTCACTCAATGCCTTCTTCACTCCTTTTTTGTCTCTACACACATTATCTGATGTTTATCGGAAATAAAAACAATGAATGAGATCTTCGAGCCTGTTACACAACTTTAAATGTAACATTTGTTTAAGTCATTTTAACCATAAGGCATCCTGTCTATTGTCGATTATAGGTTTCAATAAGAATTTTAAGGACATTCTAATAATAAAATGTGGGGTGTTCGTTGATGATGTTTGGGGATTAAAATGTTTAATAGACGGAAAGTCTTTGCAGTCAAAACTCCCCTTGTCTGGGAAATTCAAATCTCTATCTGATCTGACAAAGCTTTAAGGAACTAAAATTTCAATTCACATCACTTTGTGAGCCATCTCAGAAAATTTTATGACAAAGAAGCTTAGACCAATGAATATGATTTATGTTGTACTGAAAATGACTTTTAAACTATCGACATGAGAATACCAAAAACATTTTTTACGATTACAAAATAATTCAATTATCATTGCGTAGAGATAAAAATGAAATAAATTTTGATTTAGGTTTTTTTTAAGAAATTCTCATGAAAAATCAATATGAATTGTGCTCATGAGATATCCAACGAATGACCTTCCTATGATATTAAAGAAGAGAACATTTTATTGATGTAATTTTTCATCTTATTTTACTTTCTGCCTCTTTTTCGTGTTTGAATTTCTCTTTATAAAGAATCTTTTTATTTAAATTCTCGGTGGAATTCCTTTTTAAAAAATTAAGTACGATGAATGCTTTTAATGTAATGAAAAAAGTTGTAATGACTATCAAGAATTTACACTCAATGGGTATTTTACAAAGATAAATGAGAAGATAAATTGATGAAATTTATAGAATGAATTTCTCATGATTAATTTTTATTGTTTGGCTTTGGAAGTTGAAGAATTTTTTGTTGATATTTTATTTGAATACCTTGAAATGGATTCAATCAGATTAATTGAATCTGAATAAAGGTAGCGTCTATACCTTAGAGTCGTATGACTAATCTAGGTGCAGATTTGTCTCGAGATACTCTCTCTAAAGGTATTTAGCCTTACCTAGTTCCACATAGACATTTCTGATTTTCAAAACCAAACCTCAACAGCTTTAATCAAAATGATATCTTTTAAACGCTTTCCTTTTTTAATAAGTTATTAAGGGCTTATTTTCATTACAAAATTAATTATTTGTTATTTCAAAACATAAATGTATAAATCATTCAGAAACTCTAGTCATAATGCTGAACAAACATCCTCCATTTCCCTCATTTACAACCTTGTATAGAAAAAATATTGTCTGACTCTTGCTGATAACACCTAAGATAAATTCAATGAAATTGTAGACTTTATTTCTCATCATCTCTTCCTTACTTTCTTGTTCCTCATTCTTTTAATTCACATCTTTTTCACGCACCTCTTCTTTCCCATAAATCACAGTCGCTACCACGTAAATTTTTTTTATATTCCACACTTCTCATGCTCAAAGAAAAGTGATCCATAAATATTTGCAAGGATTTCTCTCGTTCCTCACATAAAGAAAATAAAGTGCCGGAAAAGAGAACATCGGCTGTGTAAATTTGGTTGCAGAAGTTTTTTTTTCGTGTTTATTTTTATGATAAAAGTTGAAAATTCAAGGAAGTAAAAATCATATGGAATGAGTGAATTTACCCCAGTGGATATTGAAATTCAAATTTGGAGCAAACAAGAAGGAAGTTTGTTGTTATTTCTGTTTGTGAAACACGTCAACGACGAATTCATTTTTAAAGTTGATGTGGTTTTGGGATGGAGATGGTTTTTATCGATGGATGTTGACTGTTTAAGAAGAAGTGAGAGAGTAAAAGCCAGATTTTGGAGATTAAAGGCAAAATTTGCAACTTTTGGGGATGTTAATCTCCGAAATGGCCTGAAATTGTTCAAATTTTTTATATCATCTGCTAAGAATCAAACCCAAAATCTCACAATTTTAAAGATTGCAGATGTATTGTCTGTTTCTAAACAACTCAGCCACAGTAGCCTTATTCTAACAATGGCAGATCAATCATCATCCACATCTGCTCCTCTAATCCTCAACCAAGCCAATTTCACATTCAAAAATATCATCAAACACGTGCAATAGTCTAAACTTACATAATATTACAATAATGACGTAAAGAAAAGCATATAAAGTTTATAACCGATTTGATTATAAGTATGAATGAGAGCGCGTCGATATGCACGTACATGTGCTTACTTTAAAATGAAA